GGGATCTCTTGACACAAAGCCAAGGTCGGGTAGACCAAGAAAGATTTCAGTCATAGCTGACAGAAGAATTGTTTGGAATACAAAAAAAAAACCACAGGTAACCTCAGGAGAAATACGGGCTGCTCTGAAAAAAAGACAGTGTGGTTGTTTCAAGGAGCACAATACGATGGATACTTGAACAAAAATGCATGAAGTCAGCGCATTGAAAGCTCTTTCCAGCATGACAATGACCCTAAGCACAAGGCCAAGTTGACCCTCTAGTGCTTACAGCAGAAAAAGGTGAAGGTTCTTGAGTGGCCATCGCAGTCTCCTAAATTTAATATAATCGCGCCACTCTGGGGAGATCTCAAATGCGTGGTTCATGCAAGACGACCATAGACTTTGCAAGACCTGGAGATATTTTGCCAAGATGAATGGGTAGCTATACCACCTCCAAGAATTAGAGGTCTCAGACAACGATTACAAAAAAATGCACACTGTCATTGATACTAAAGGGGGCAATACACACACAGCTTTAAGAACTAAGGGTATGCAAATGTTTGAACAGTGGTCATTTCATTTTTTTTCTTTGTTGCAATGTTTTGTTTTATGATTGTGCCATTCTGTTATAACCTACAGTTGAATATGAATCCCAAAAGAAATAAAAGAAATGCGTTTTGCCTGCTCACTTATGTTTTCTTTAAAAATTGTACATATATTACCAATTCTCCAAGGGAATGCAAAGTTTTGAGCACAACTGTATAATATCAGGGGCATTGCTAGGTTCCAGAAACACTTGGGGCTTTAGCCCAAAATGAAATTTCAATGATTTCTGCACTAACAGGGATGGAAATATGTCATGACACTACATTGCATCTATGTTATGTCCCATGCACTCTACTCATGAACACAACTACTGATAAGGATCTTAATGAAAGCTTTAACCAAGTACATGCTGCAAAGCCACGGAGTCGATGTGGTCCAGCCAGGCTATCTAACTAATAGAGGGGTGTGTATCAAAGTTCTGCCCTCACCCCCTCCTGACCGTCGCCTATGGAAAAAACTCTTCTCCCTAAGTGACTTGATAGACTACTATACAATTAATCTTTCTTTTTATAATAGGTAGCTGCTTTCAGAAGCAGCTGCCTCATGTAAAATTTGAAAAAAACAAAAACACATCCTTCGGCTCTTTTCTCAACTGTAATGAAATGGGGATGAAGCCCCCAAAGCCACCCCTTCCCCACCAACACCAATTATCTTAATGTTATATTATTCATATTTTTTGATATCCCACTGATTGTATAAATACCCCTTTTATATATATAACTTACAGCATTCAAACTCAATGACTAACTTGCCATAATTACACTCCTTCCCTGCCATGTTCCTTCTGTAATGAATTCTCTATAGTGCCATAAACCTTAGACAATCTGATTTAACATCATTTGTGTCTGGGAAAAGTGTGAATAGTGCATCATTCCCCTGTTGATTTTATAATGCCTGCTCTTTGATTCTTAAAAAGAAAATGCAGTGAGACAATGTCTAGATGGGTTTTTGTTTTTCTTTTGTAAATGCACAGTTTGCATAATGTACAAAAATTGCCAAATTGAAGTAAATACTGTATATACCATGCAAACAGATAATATTTAGAGAGATGGAGAAAAGTTAAATAAAATATATATCACAGTCTAGTTTTTTTAGTTTATGAATGTTATTTATGTTTAAGAGGAAATAATAAATTGCAAAAATTGGAAAAGGTACCACACTCAATTGACTTAAGACAGGGTGTTTAGCTGAACCAAGGGCCAGCACAAGCCCAGAAGATAATAAATACCAGTATTAGAAAAAGGGTCCAGGCACTCCAATGTCTTTAGGCACCATTATTGGGACATGTGGAACACAGCAACGTTTCCACACCCAAAGACTTCACTGGGAGTCAAAATGTTGCAGTATTCTACATGTTCCAATAAAGGGGCCTAAAGACATTGGAGTGCCTGAACCCTTTTTCTAATACTGGTATTTAAGAGGAAATAATGGGCAGAAAAAGAACTGTTATTTTAAAAAATAAAAAACTATATTTTGATAATCCATAAAAAAAATGCAAAAAAAGAAATAAAGAACAAATAATAAAAATAAATGCACCTACAGAGATCCTGAAGCAGCACAGCTGAGATTGAATGCAGTTTATGAAAGAGAAAAAAAGAGAGTGAATTAAAATTGGTCAGCTTTGTATCAGGTTCAGCTACTTTGGCCTAAAATGTGAAATGCACTTTGAACTTTAGTGATTAACCCTGTAATAGTTTTATTCCCAAGCTCAATTTCTTTCATCATATAGAATGAGTGAAACTGCACTGTAAGCTGATAGCAGCCATACCACAGCTGCTGTCAGTTTATACAGAACACTGTTCTCACTTTCTTGAAGTAGACTGTGTGCTGCAATTTGCCGCTTGCATAAACTGGAGAAAACTGACACGGCAAAAGAGGAAGTAGAAACTAGTAGAAACTCCTTGTGCAGTGTCTGAGTGCAGCACAACTTATAGCTGCAACGAGTTTTACAGATCACTGCAGTCAGGGACGGATAAAGAGCCCATTTGGGCCTGGTATTGACAATTAAGATGAACCTAATTACAGAATTTTATCAACAGAAAACACTAAAACAGTTATATCTCCCAAGTGTCATGTATCTGGTGGAGGTGGTGCTGAATGGAAACTCACATGATGTAGCCACAATAAAACACATACCCTGTGCTAATCTCTTGCTTACATCTCTCAAGCAAATCTATAACCCCTAACAGCAGTGGCCAATGAAAATTGACATCAGTGGGCATGGGGAAAGGGTGGGTCACTGACACGACCCACGTAATCGGCACAGCCCAAAGAAGCGGACATGCCCAAAAAGGGGGCGAGTATGGCCGGAGAATTGGAAGGTCAGCCTGGCATGGATGTATATTGCCAATCTGGCATGGATTGGATGCCAATCATGCAGGCTGGCCAACTAAGGGCATATTATGCAGACAGCGCCCTTAACTTGGGACAAATGTGTCTAATGATGCGCTCACTCTATGCTTTCTAGGGCCTGTTCCATAGCACTTACTTGTCCACTCCTCTCCTTACCTTCTTACTAGAAGGCAGAAGCTTCTGGTATGCAGTCTGGGACATAGAAAATGTAAATGTAGTAAGTGTAGAAGAAAAGAGGCATGCCACAGTGTTAGAGAGACTGAAGCAGCAAGACCATTGCTTTACCTTAAAGGAAAACTATAGTTTTAGGAATACACTATACCTGATTTCAGCACTGAGGTCCCTCGGAACTGGATCAAGATCCTCCTCCAGCGATGTCAGCTATGGGGGGGGGGCCTAATGTGCATGTACAGTGAGCACTGTGCACACATTAGCTTTTCCTTAGGAAAGAATTTAATCAATGAGATGACGGGGTCTGGGTGTCTATAGCATCCCTTTAACTAATTTCAATATCAGCCAGTACACACTGATTTTGTTCCCCTACATCCCTCTTAAGGTTCCATACTTTTTTTTTATCAATGGGCCTATGTCACTGGTATGGGACTGGAGCTAAATACAGCCCTGACTGTAGTTATAAGCCCCTTACCAGTTATCAAAACTTGTCAATTAACCCAGAACTTGGCTGGAAAACAATAGCTTTTTAACCCTAGCATTAGTTAATACATCTCAAATCTGCTGATTTACCAGGGGCATGGAGTACATTAATTCAATATGTGTT